TAAATAGCTTCCCATATTCTTAATAACCTGCAGTCATGAATTGATTATGAGAATATTTGCTTCTGCACACAGACGTTTGAGACACAACACATCCTTTCAGCTATGTGGCTGCATTTGTTGTCACTTTGTGGTTATTCCTCATCGTGCTGTGTTTATTTTTCAACTTTTCTTATAATTGTGTGTGTCTGGTTTTACATTTTGTGATGGTTGTGGTATCTTTATAGTGTTTGTGTGTCTCTTTGAGGTCGTTTTATTTGCTTTAAAACCTGGAATGTCAACAGTCTCTTCATACAGGGTCTCTGGGTCAGAGCCCCCTGGCTGAGAAACATCATAAAGATTTATATTCTGAACTTACTTACTCAAGAACCATTTTATACGTCATCTTTCAACTCCACTACACTTTAGAGAGAAATATCAAATGTTTTACTAAAATATTCATCTAATAACCAGGGGTGTTGCCACAGGGTATAGACAAAGCAGACAATTACGAAAGACTCCAAGCTAAGAGGGGACCCCCGAGAATGGCTAATTAAACCATTTTTGTTTAGTTCAATGTAGGGCTCCCTGATCCACTTTGCCTAAAGTCCCTGTGAAGCTTCTGCAGGAAACTACAATAACTGTTTAGATGATCTTACACAGAAAATCCAACAAAATGCCAAATAGTTCAAATTTGCTTCAAATGTACCAGCCACAATAATAAAATGCTACTTACATAATTTAGGAAAAACGATTGATATTATGTTTAAAAAGAGTTTGGGTCAGAATCTGACTTCTTCCACTACAATAAATAAAAAAAATATATATCATGTGTAATCGTAGATTAAGATCTGGTTGCTTTAGTCTAAGTTGTGTTTGAGAAATGCAGACAGCTGTTGCAACCACCTCGCCCTCCTTAAGTTTTACTTTCTAACTAAAGTCACTCAACAGTTACAAGCGTATTTAAACGAAGCCTCAGGGCATACATTTCGAAATGGTGGAGAAAGAGGCTGAATGAAACATGAATGACACGTCTCGTCTGATTAACCTGCCATCATCGCTGAGTGGCTGCTGACGTCAGTAACGCTACAAAAAAAAACCCCTGCGCTCAGAGGCACATTCACTTTGTGCAGCTTTTACGCACGCACCAGCCCCGGAGCGGCTCTCTCTGCAACTCACTCTGGATTCACCTCATCACAGCAGCTATGGCAGCCATGATAAGAAACGAGGTTTTCTCCTGTTTTGTTTTCTACGGAGTGTTGCTGGTGGTCAAAATGTACATCTTAGCGATTATAACGGGGCAACTGAGGCTGCGTAAAAAGGTGAGTCCAGGATTCTGAGGGACTGAAGGATACTTCATACCGCAGCATGAATATCAACTCATAGACTGTGTTTTTTTACTGACTGAGTTATGTTTTGTTCTTTCCTGAAAGGCTTTTGCCAACCCTGAGGACGCGATGAGACATGGAGGTTTACAGTATTACAGAGAGGACCCATATGTGGAGAGATCCCGGAGGTGAGAGCAGAAAGACATGCTTTTATATTTATAAAAATGTAAATAAAATACTTTACATTGTACAGCTTTCAGAGACCAAAACAAACTATAATCCTGAGAAATATAGACACAATTATTAATTGAATTGAATTAAGTTGGTTCCAAATAAATGTGGCTATAAGTGAAAGTACTCGTGTAAAGTTCTTCCAAATGTTGCTCATGTTCGTAACTTCTCACCACTGGTAGCATCATAAATATTGTCCAACCCTCAGTGTCTACATTAGCACGCTGCCATCATGATCATTATTTGATGTTGCATGTTGTTTTGTCTTTGGAATTTGGAAGAACATTCTAATAATGAAGTGTAATCTTATCATTTCATACTTTATTTTCATACTAGATGTTGAGTTAGGTTAAAATATCATGCACAATGTTGACTTAAGCCTGTGGGACGTTCTTTGGCTTGCTACAGTATTTTATAAAAAATGCAGGAGTCAAATTGTGTAAAAGTAATGGAAAAAAACAAATAAGACGTACAAATCTGACTCTAATACTTTGTTCATATTTCTCATGCAACACTTTAATGAGACAATGTGTTTTCCTTCACTGATATTTAACAAGAGTTGGCAGCCTTTAGCACTTAACTTTGTTTGAACTTGTCATGATCCGTGACGTTAGAAAAGCAGATGTTTTCCTGCTGGTATAAACTTTTCCTTCTTTTTTCCTTATCTGTCTGTTGTGGATTTTCCATGGAATGTGTGAAGGGAAATGCATTGGTAGGCATTTATACGTTTTTGGTGCTTTTTTGGGGGGGGGGCTGCAACGTTTCAAATAACCTGCAAACTAATCACGTCTTTTGTAACGTGCACTTTCTGCAAGAGTTGTTGACCGGGCACGCTTCCCAGAATATTCTGAATTTGAACCCAATGGAAAGGAAGAAAGAGAACAGCGTGGCCGATCTGCCAAAAAAGGGAAAGTCACACATCTGCTGTAGATCACGATTCATTTGAGATGAACAGGTCTGAACTAAACTGATGAGTCACCTCAGTAGGAAATTCAATGTTGGTCGAGACCTTTTCCCTTTTTTAGACATCCAATTCTCCAGAATACCAAGATAACCAAATTCACGAGACACTGAAGTAGAGGAAGAATCCTTTGTCGTATTTTGTAAAAAGAGATGTGTGATGGAAGCCTTTCTCTCCTACAGAGCTCATTGTAATGACTTGGAAAACATCCTCCCCTTCCTCTTCCTGGGGGCCGTCTACTCTTTGACCGGACCCTCGCTGGCCGTAGCCCGCCTCCACTTCCTCGTCTTCTTCGTGTGCCGCGTGCTGCACAGTGTTGCCTACCTGCTGGCCCTACAGGCACCGACCCGCTCCCTGGCCTACACCTTCGCACAGATACCTTGCGTCTCGATGGCCCTGCAGATTCTCATGGCGGTTGCATCATATGCTTAAACACCCATCGACGAGGGCCTGAGGTTGGCCTGTGTCAGAAAACAAACAGGAGGCGGATACTGGGCAGACTCCTGGGACGGGGATCGTAAAAAGACAAGAATGCCAGAGTGCAATACACTGCGAGGTGTGTGTGATCACGCCTTCACTGGGTTTTGTGAGATTTTGTCAGTATTTTTGTTGTGAGAATGTTTTAAAAGTTTATTGAAGTTGACATTTTGTATTGTATTTGTGTATTTAAAATGCAAATGAAGGTTGTTGCTCATCTTGTTGTTTCTTAAACCAGTTTTTGTTGAAGTTGACAATGGAATTTAAAACTCACAGTTGCAGACATTTGGCTCAAACTTCTCGGGGAATATTTTCCAGCACTGCATTGCACAATGTGTTGATCCCTCACCCCCTTTTTTTGTGTTTACATACAACACAGGCCAACATTCATGTGATCTCCTATTCACGGCGGCCTCGTCGGTTTCCTGTGTGGATATTCCATCTGTTGTGTTAGCGTTTGTTTGCATTGCTACATTCAACAAGACATAATGGATCCTGGCATGATGATGGACAACTCAGTTAAATAGTTTTCAAGTTAGACTGTGTGTCTCTTTAAAAGCCTTTAAAGGAGTTGGAAAAACTAACACAGTTTGTACTGAGAAATGTAACTTACTAGAACCTGCGGAGAAGCGCATGTGAAATAGTTCATCTGTGAAAACAGCTTTTAAAAGTATTGTGATCGTAATTTATTATTCACCGTACATTTTGTAAGGAATAAATCAAACCGAGCCGACCCATCCTTTATTTGAACACAGTTAATCCAGTATCTGAATCATTTTAGGAGATGGATCAGTGTTTACTTTGCCTGGCTGTGCAGAGACAGTGTGCTGTATTGTTAAGGGGTCGGGAGGCCCCACTTCCCTGTGCCAGGGTGAGATGATCCAGAGGTCTGCGGAACAGCTCCAGCATTCCTCTGCTGATTGTGTAAGACCTTTAGGCTGTGCTGTATTCTTTTTCATATGCTGAGGGGCTGGACGGTGCTGGGAAGCCATAGACTCCTGGGCACTCATGCTTTTGTGCTGAATGTGGTTACAGCTTGCTCTGAGTGTGTCACCGCATTATGAGCATGACGTTTGCACATTTTCACGTGCATTTGGTTCCCAGAAACAAATTTCCAAATTGTATTGCCGGTAATCTCATGTGTGACTTTCCCTCCAGTGATGATGACTAAACTTGGAATTAAAGAGCAGCTAAGTTTTGTGATTATAGTTTTTAATCTCTGCACAAAGGAAATATAACAGACCAGGGGAGCGTGGGATGGCCGTGTCTTTGAATAATGACCCTTAACAATAAACATGATTTGAGTGAAACCTAAAGCTAATAAAACACCAGCAACAGGGGTGGGTCTATATGCATGAGTGGCCGTAGCAACCTGCCTCTACAGGGTTTGAACAAACAGGCACATGTCCTTCCTCCTATACCACTCCACCTCTCCTGTGTTTCATTTTTCATGTATCTGTATTTTACTTAAGTAGATTTATTTTTGGGAACTCTTACTCTTTTCCTCCACCTCATAGCACACTTACATAACACATATAATACACTCAGCCATAATGATGTAGTTGAAGTGATTTTACTTTTGAATACTTTAAGAAAATTTAAAGCAATTACGTACCGCACTTTTACCCAAGGATAAAAATAACATAATTGAGCACTTCCTTCACCACACACACATGCCTGCACACACTCACACACACACACACTCACACACACACACACACACACACACACACACACACACACACATACAATTCCACTGCTATGCAGACGACACCCAATTGTATATTAATATTAAGGTTGTGTAAAGCTCTAATGTTAAGNCACACACACACACACACACACACACACCAACCTAAACCATAGTTACTAAATGCCCAACCCTTACCTATACCCTAACCTTAACCTTATAACCTAAACCTACTCCTAACCTTAATGGAACTGTAAAACATGCTATATCACAATGTAGTTTAATGAGCTGAATAGAAATGTAGGTGGTCTCAGTGGTTGTCAACTTGTCTCAAGCAGCAGAAATTAAAAAGCAGTAAACTTTCATCATATTGCAATTACATCCTTATTTATCCCCACCTTGTGGCCACACAGAGACAGTACCAATCAACACACGGCTGGCTCCAGTTTTCACCAACAGAGAACAAACAATGTGCGTCATCACATCTGAACCTCTCATTAACCTGCATGGCAGCACAGGAGCTACTTATAACATCTTTGACTTTATGTAATTAAAGTAAATATCACAGTATTTCACCGGCAGACACACTTTGACTTGGGAGACATTAAACCCTGTTAATCCAGGTAATAAGAGTGTCTTTCTTTATCATGGAAAAATCACGACAATATGTTGATGACACTCAAAGTGATAAAAGCTTCGATAAACTCAAATATCTGTCAAAAAAGCATCCACATGTAACCTCAGGAGCATCAATTATGTTTCTGTCATACACTCATTCAGTAAAGCAGCCAGCCTGAGAAAAAGCTTTAGGCTACTACATAGAAAGCAATCACACAGAAATAAAGAAATAAAAGAGAAGTCTGACAAATGTAGCGATGGTAAAACAAACATGACCGAGTAAGATAATTTAAGATTGTGTTTTCACATTTGCTGATGTTTTCTCACATATTGCCGTTGTGTTTTCACCTTTGTTGTTGGTCGTGTTTTCACATTTAACCATTGTGTTTTCTTATTTGCTTTTGTGTTTTGTTAAATTTTTTTCTCTTTTTAGCTGTTTTGTTTTAAGATTTCCACTTAAGGGCCGCCACTTAAGATTTTTAAAAACAAAAACATCGGTCAGTTCAAATTTCATAAATATTTATTACATATCAATGAACAGAATCAACTACTTTCACAGCAGTGGTCTACAGCACTTGTTTAAAATAACTGCTCAAATAATATTAATAAGAATAATCATAATAATAATAATATAGTTCAGTTTCATTTGAGGCCACATTTGATACACAAACATTTACAAGTAGTACTTGGCATTAAAAACGATGGCAATACAATATTTTAAGACACTTGGTGTTTTTTTTGTTCATTTTCTTTCATTTTGATATCACAGAGAGGTTCAGCAACAGTCTAAACAGTAAATATAGGTTCAAATACAAAAAAAGAAAGAAACCAAACAAAAATTAACAAACAAACAAAACAGTTAAATGCCAAGGGGAGGTAGAAACAAGGACAGAAAGAGAGAAAAAGGAGAAGCAGTGTTTCCCCCGATCACCCACACTCATCCAGAGCAATAAAGATTTAAGTGTATTTCCTCAAAAAAATAAAAATACCTACACTCCCTTCATCATCATAATCATCTTCCCTTTTTTAGTTTTCTGAGTCTGTCAGAGTGTTGGACGGTTACCACTGACACAGGCAGGAGGAGAACATCGGAAACAATGAGAGGAGGGGAAAAGGGAGGATGGAAGAAGGCTCATGCAGGATGTGAAGGCTGCTGTGTTGTGACACAGCCACATGGAGGCGCTCTCATACAGACAGGTAGCATATAGTCAGAACCACTGCTCCCATGTTTCTTGACCCTTTCAGCTTTCTGATGTGGTTCTACTGACTCTATCTTATTTACTCAAAAAATAGAGTTTCATCTTTAGATTCTGCACACGACCGATTCAACGTGGAGTTTAGAAAGTTATTTTCATATCTGTAACTGTATATTTTGATATTTCCCTTTACTGTGAAGGGGCCCTCCACTGGTTCGGTTTAACTGCCATGACGAGACCTACTCTGCCTGTGCAAACAAAGTCAGGTAATGTTTTCTGTGGTTACCAGTGGAGTTTTTTCTTCTTCTTTTAATTAGAGAAAAGAACCGTAATAAAGGGCTGGAGTTATCTCAGTTTGGGCTCGAGACTTATTCTGGGCTGACATCATATCGTTTGAATCGTAATTAGGAACGGCCTAGAGGCGAAAAGGTTCGCGTCAGTCATAGATAACAGGAGTCTGACGCTGGTGGTGGTATCTCTAATTTACTGATAAAAATAAGATCCAGAGTAATTTTATTGGATCCGTAAACTTTGTTGGTGTCACTTGGTAACAACTGCTACAAATAAGAAGCAAACAAAAGCTGTTTATCTGCTGACACTACACAAGTTTGTCTGAGGGAAAAGAACCATATATGTAAATCAGGTGTGAGCACTTCCAGGTCAGAATAAAGGCTGTTTTCTTGCTTTCTGCTAACAATGTGTGAATGGAACATCATTGAAAGATTTGTTAATACGAGTACACAGGTGGTTGTGTAAGGATTAAAAAAATGTTTATCGACAACATAACTCTATGTCCATTAGATTTGGGGTTAATAACTCGGAACATGGCTTCAGCGGATGTGAGTTATCCTTATTTGTTATCTTTTCAGATAATTATGTATTAACAAATGCCAAGTCTGAATCAGAGTTTCCCTGTTGTACTTGGATGAATGTTATCGCCAGTTAAATTCATAACGGTAACTGAACGCAGGACTTTTTTTCTTTAAAGAAAGCCTAAGTTAGAAACTGGAAAGAAACAATTTGGAAAGAAGTGGGTGTTGAGAAGGCAGAGGAGGTATAGGGACAGAATCTACTGAGGGGTTTAATTATGGGAAATGTGTGATCCATTTATTATTAAAAGTCAAAATATTTTAGTCTGTGCTGCTCTTTTAATCCATTTCATCAACTTTATTTAAGTAAAACACTTTGATTTTGAATGAATGTTAACCAGTTTGGGAGTTTAAACCAGGATCCGAACAGAAACATTGCATGTCTTATGCGTCTTCATTGGGTTTAAAGACACGTTTAGCTGCTTGTCAGAGGACATGTGGTGGTTAAACTGTGGAAATAAAAAAGCACAGATGTTGGCAGAATTGGCCAATTGCTGGACACCAGTGGTTCCAGCTGTGAGTCAGTCTTTTGCCGGACATCTGGAATCAAAACAGCAGGACTAAGATTTGAAAGCGAATTTGTTTTATATAGTTTCTTAATTTTACATGCTTCTCAGTCATAGTTACCCATTTTAGTGAGTAGTATTGGCTCATTTTTCATTTGAAACAATATAATTGGTAATAACCGTGTTCAGTGCCTTTTTGTTGTCTCAGGTTGAGTTTTGCTTCACGCTCTTATTTTTGGTATCACGTTGCAGACCTCATGATTTCCAAAGAAGCCAATGTTTTGGCTCAGAATACTCGGAGCAAAGGCGGCTCATGCAGATTTAATGTTGCCTCCATCTTATGAGGGCGTAAAATGTTTAGCACATGTGAATCGTAAATGAAAGGAGCTGTGGGTCACCGTAGTAATCTAACGTTGACTACAATCATGGCTGCTACTGTCAGACACCAGAGTGCGGTGGCTTTTCGAGGTGTAGTTCAGTGAAGGATGATGGGAAATGGCACTTGTGGGAGACTTTGCCTCCAGCCCTGTCTAACTGTGTGCTGTGACTGAGGAGAGGAATAAGGACTAACATGTGCAGACAGCATAAAACATCATACTTTTACTAAATATGGGAATAAAATGGATTTTTATAATATATCTATAAATATGCATCACAGGCATGACAAGCACACATGCCTGTCACTGTGTATGCATTTTCATGTATAAACAGATGTACACACACACACACATATGCATATCTTACAACATTTGAAAGTGGATTGGAAATAATCACATAATATACAACACATATTAAGCTCTAGCAACTTCTGAGGGCATTGTGAACGCGGGGGCTTTAGCCGTGCCTCAATGTGTAGATTTACATTCAGTTTGTGGTTTGGGATCAAACCGTTTACATTGTCTCGAAAACCATCGCAGAACTCTGAATTAACCACGGCATCTTACACGACCTCATTGCCTCTTTGGGTTTTTTTTTCGTGCGGGGCAACACAAACACCCAACACACAGCGGCTGAGGGTGAGCTCACGAACACGGACACGGCTTCTAACTCCCACCGCACCCATCTTGTCCAATGAATGGAGAGACCTTAGATATAAAACAAACAAACAAACAAACAAACAAACAAACAAAAAAACGACAAGAACAAAGGATTCAACTACTTAAAAACAAACCAAAACGAAACAATAAAAATAATGGTGACAGTACAGGAGTGGGCGGGCAGAGAAGTGCACGATGGGATTGTCTTCACTTTAGGTCCAGGACATCTTCTTCAAACGATGTAGAGAGGGCAAACGCGCTGGCGAGAGGTGGGCTCTCCCCCCGCAGCACTGCCTTCTCTGGCTCGGCCTCCGAACTGGACGAACAATGCAGCTGGACGTCCAGGTCTGCGTCAAAAGAGTCTGATGCTAACCTGCTGTGCACAGAAAGGTAGAATTCAAGCTCAAATATCATACAACAAATTAAATGTGTAGCTGCTGCTGAATCTGTCACTGTCACCTGTCACTGTTTGTTGACGTCAGTGCTCGAGCTTTGGGCTCTTCCTCAGTGTTCTTCTTGCTCATCTTCCTCTGTTTGACTGTTCCACTGTCCGACTTCCCACTTGGTTCCTCTGTCAAGCCTTCATTGGTGTCACGTAACAGAAAATGGACACTACTTGAAGGATTATTACAACATTTGGGAAATGCAAAGCTACAGCCAGCTAGCTTGGTTTATGCCGGCTGCACACTAGAAGACATTTTGAGGCTGGTCTGAACAGATTATCTGGCCAAGAGTGAGGGGTTCACAGACATCAGCATAATCTCACTGTTTTTGTAACGTAAATGTCAATATTACAATTGGAAATCAGGGAGACTATGTAAGACGAGGACAGTGATTCGGCGAGTGAGCAGAAACCCATAATGGCCAAATTAGAGACTGGGAAGCCTAACCAGAAACATGGCTGCCTGCAGCGTAAATAAGAATTTTTTTTTGCAGGACAAGGTGGATGGCAAAAAAGGAGGACAAACTTGTGTAATTGTGTTTAATGTGTCCTGTTTTTAGTCCAAGACATTACACATACAAGCAAAACTAGCTGAGGACCCTGAGAGACGCCTCCAGATTGTTTCCCAGCTTCTATAGAATCAGAAAACACTTAAATACCACACGTGTAGTCCTGAGTCTTGACAGGATCATCTACTGTGCACATATTCACTATTTAAGTATAAAAAAATCTGTTATATCTTATGTCTGTGTTCTCCCACGTTTTGGAAATCCTCTCGTGTGCAGCAGGTATTCGTGAAAACACTGAAAACAGTTTGCACATTATAAAACTACAGAAGGTTTTCTTTGAGCTTGTTCAGCAGCAGTGACCTTCATGACTTTCCTCTGCTTCCTGGTCAAGGATTAGCACAGCATAACACGCTGATAAGTGACCTTTGGAAGTGCTGGCAGTTGGCTTCTGTTACCTTGTGAGCCAGTTGAGTCTGTTCAGACTCCTTATGCTGAGATATCCTAGCTGCTGGTTGTAGCCTTACATTTAGCATACTGACAATGGATTATATATGTATTGTAGAGTTATAATATAGTTTTTCAGTTTACCAAGCAGCTCCTTCCGTGTGCGGCTGGCTATCTCTTTGATTTCCATGCGTGACAGGGACAGTGAGTGTGTTGCAGAGATCAGGGGAGTCGGCGGCAACATAGCCGGAGCCGGCGCCGTCATAACCTTGTTGACCAGCGGGGACTTGAGGGGTCTTTCAATGCTCCGGCCGACCAAGTTACACAGAGGGATCTTGAACATGTGCTTGCATGCTGCTTCTCCTGAGAGTAAGAGACGGTTGGAAAAAGGAGAAAGCAGGGGAGGAGAGTCAGGAAAGTACAGACAAGGACAAAGCAGATCATGAGAAAAGACATGAAACCATATATATAAAGAGCAACGATGGGTGAGAAGAGGAATGTATGGCAGTGAATGAGAAATGCATGATGCAACTCCTTGAATGAAGCACCAAATTGTTTTTTTTCATGTTGTACCCCGTTGGCTACAAAAATGCATATGTGCATTTATAGCCTTCCATATTTTTAGAGACATAACACTGCTTAATAGTTTACCATTAGTGTATTTGATTTTTATTATTTTTGGTCATGGTAACGGTGTTAGGAGCAATGACAATTCTTCGATCAATTGTTTGACATTTTGGAAAATAAAGCCTAGTTGCATTCTTGCTCAGAGTTAGAGTAGATCGATACCAGTCTCATGCTTGTATGATAAAAATGGTGCTAGCTGGTGGTTAGCTTAGCTTAAAAGGAAAAAGTTAAAATCAGTAAGTGGATACCATCCTTTTAACGAGGCTAAGAACCCGCCACCTTATCATAGAGCATACTAGCACACAGACATGAGTGGTGGTATCAGTCCTCTCATCTAACGCTCAGCCACAAAGTGAATAAACTTATTGTCCAGTATGTCAAACAATTCCTCTCAGTGGTGCAATTAAGGACCCTGCGACATTCGGCTGATTAAAGCATTGCTCTCATATGCTGTATTGTCAGACTCGCAGAGACAACAGCAGGTGAACCTTCTGTCTGTGTCCAAAGCTAAATGTGGAGTGGTCTATTCAATAATTAAAAAAAGTCCTTAACCGCATCAACAGAGAAAGTTTCCAAAATAGACTCGTGATTGCAACAGCATAAGCTTACATGTGGTGTGATTATGGTGTGATTTGCATATGGTATATAGTGTGATGAACAGTCACTGTAATGTGTATAAAAAAAATTTGAATGGTTGATTAGATTATGAACTAAAATATGCAGAACGTCCTGAATCCAAAAGCTCTCTCACACTCACACACTCATATTGCATTTTAACAAGATTGGGAGGTGACAAACTGATGCAATACAAACTCCCTTATTCAAATAAAGACTAACGTGATTAATAGTCCTATTTACTGAAACAGCATGGGATCTTAAAGTTAATCAGCCGTAATATAACTGTTCACTTTTGGCCAGTTAGAGCAGACCATCTATTCTGCAGAGACGGTAAGTGCTTAAAGTCAGTTTGAAACAAATTAAATGGATATTTGGAGTTTGACAAAGGGGACACACTGCTAGCGATGCTGCAGTGTGCCAGCCTGCAGTGCCCAATTGTGCCATCCGGGAGCAGTATTGCAGTTTAGCAGCCGCAGACTGCTCCGCTGAGACAGGCTGGTAGCAACAACATGGATGAGACTGAGTCAATGTGGAGGCTTTACGCTGCACAAAGAGCACCGTCTCATCTGAAATGTCAGCGGGTGAAGAGGTGAATGAGGAGCCATGGAGGAAAATAGAGGGTCAGTGCTGTTGTTTGACAGGTACACTGTGTTAGTGTTGTTACAGATCCTGCCTCCTGCACCCGTGCCGGCAAAACATGGCAATAATTACAGCAAAATGCAGGAAAAGCATGCAGTTATTTGGAATATACAATCACAAGAGATCAATATATTCCACGTGTGTTTCTGGACCAGGGGAGGTGTCATGCTCCATCACACTGGCAAAAATAAAAATAAATCTGAATGTGGTGTTTTCAGCACTAAGTTGAATTCTCCTGGACAGCATGCTTTCGTTTCGCTCTCGGCTGTTTTGGTGAGCGTTTAAACCAGCGGAGGCAGGCGGCGTCTTGCAGCCACATCAGTAACAACATCTCGTTGACGTTACTGATGCGATTACATCAGATGAAACCCCCTCCCCGAGGAGCAGATACAGCAGGTGCACAGGCAGTGAGAGGATGGGGATTTTTGTCAGCACCCCTTCCAACCCCCCCTCTGCATCTTCTGCTACAACACCCACCCCACCTACCCTCACCCTCGGATTGTGGCACCGCTGTTTGGACAAGCACTTTGGATCGAAGCGAGGGCTGACAAAAGTCTCCATGGCGACAGTGCAATCTGTAAATCATGCTGCGGCAGACGTGTCTTCTTCTTCCCTCTTTCCCTTTTTTTCCCTCCCTTCTCCTCTCCCCACCTCCCGCTTGTACACAACCCCTCCCTTCCCCCCCTCACACTCATGCATACCTTTCCTGCATCTCATCCTCCTCTTATTCCGAACATCTCCCGTTATCTCCTGCGCCTCACTTTTCGTTTTTTAATTTTTTTAAACTTTCCCCTTTTTCGACCCTCTTATTCTCTAAGACACAAAGGGGTGGGAGGTGGGGAAGACATGATGTTCACTTAACATTCAACCAACGTTTAAGTCAACATGCTGCCTTGGAACAGACAGGGTGATATACTCTGCGAGCACGTGCATGTGAGTGGGGCAGCGTTATGAGCGTTTTCATGAGCTGAGGACGAGAATCCTGCAGTACCTTCGGCATCCTTAGACATGTACAGGGAAAGCTTGGTACCATAGGGGATCCGTATTGAATCTGAACCAGGGATGAAGAAGAGGGTTACACAAACACACACACACACACA